TTTTTTTTAACATAAACCAGCTATTTGTTAATACTTCAGGTATATTTTGCAAAACTCACTTGAAGAAAAAAAAACATATTTGCGAATGAAAATATCTTATGGTCTATATATCTGACATTTCTCATTACAAGATTGTTGTAAGAATATTCCAAGATTATTCAGCTTATTTTCTAGACACTTGTACTTGTTTTACTTTAGTGATGGTGTCTTACTTCATACATCTTTTCATTTTCTCAAAATGAGAAATATTAGATACAGTGGGGTCCAAGAGTCTGAGACCACGAGTGAAAATGCTTTTTTTGCATTCTTTTCTAACCAAATACATTTTTTAAAATCGCAACTTACATAATCAACTGACAATTTGTTTGAAAAGTATTTTTTTTTTCCTCCTTTTTTGAGATGCATTTAAGAATTTTGCAAATTTGGTATTTGGTCCAAATTTTGGTTTTAATGACAGGCTGCACTCAAGCCGTTTTCAGATGTTTTTGTACAAAGGCCTCAACATGGTCAGAGTCACAAATTTGCTTAAATTTGCCTAGAAATAGTGCAGAATATTGAATATTTTTTGTTTTGTCATAACTTGTTTGAGTTGTCTCAAACTTTTGGACTCCACTGTATGTTGACTAAATTTAAGACTCTTTTGGCCCAAAAGTGGTTTAAACACCTGAAAGGTTTGAGTGCTGAGATCACAACCAGGGGATAAAATATGTGGCCTTGGCTTTATTCCCAAACTAGTACACTGCAAAAAAAAATTGTCAAGTAAAAGCTTCTTAATATAGTTACTGTATTTAATATTTCTCATTATAAGATTTTTGTAAGTATAAGATTATTCAACTTATTTCTAGACATTTATTTACAATTTTATATTATGAAAGTGTCTTGTTTTGTGAAGTAATGCAAAGAATTTAGCTTATTTCAAATAATGCTTGCAACATGTACAGTTATCTGCCCATGGAATGAGACACTTTCATTTAGTAAAATTACTTGAAACAAGTAAAAAGGTATCCTGTAATGTTCTTGCAATAATCTCATAATGAGAAATGATGCATATATTGACTAGATTTCAGTTTTCAGTTTTTATCATTATTTGTAGTGTACATTTACAAATATAAACCAAGGGGGTTATTGTTTTCCTCCTGATAAACGTGGTTAGTCTTTTAATATGTTAGGTTATTGCATACCAACCAAAAAAGCTAAATGTTCCCAAACTTTTAATGAGCAGTTGTGGGTTCGTGTTGTCCGTCACCTGACCAAGCCTTTCCTCTCCCTTTGCTCCAATTTCTTAGCGAATAAATAGTGAGGTTAGTACGATACCATCTCTGTCTCGCTTTATCTCAGTCTTGCGCCACTTCCCACACCTGCAATTGTCTTTTACTCAGGCCTGTGGTAAGAGTTCATGATAGGTGCTGAACCCAGTGACTGTGTTTGTTTACAGAACTCGTGAGTTTGAGAGAGATTGAGAGCAACAGTTGAGCAGCAGGAGAGAGAGAATTTGGGGGAAGGGGGACAGTATATCATTGAATGCTCTTGCAGGACCGTCCACGGCAGGTGCGAGCGTCCGTTGGTGAGCGTGGCGGGGTGGGGCGGGGTGCGGAGGGAGAACTCCAGCTGCCAGTTGTTGGCAGAAACAGAGAAGTTCTTTCTCTCTTCTACAGACCCCTCTCTCTTATTCTCTCCCCCCACACCCTGTCTTTCTCTTCTCTCTCCCTCTTGCTCTCTTTCCTTCTGTCTCTTTCTCTCTTTTCTATGCATGCTGTAAGCCTGGCCTCATCCAATCAGGTTGTGTGGGGCAGATGTGACAGGCGCTGAGGAATGTGAAGAATGCGGAGGCAGGGAGAGAGAAAGAGAGAGAGCGAGAGAGAGAGAGAGGGTGAGAGAGGCAGGCAGAGGCCTGCGCGGGTGTGTCTGTGGGGAAAGGGAGGAGGGGGCAGTGTATGGCTGGGAAGGGTGAACACATTGCATTTCTCTCTCTCTCTCTCTCTCTATCTCTCTCTCTCTCTCTCTCTCTCTCTCTCTCTCTCTCTCTCTATCTCTATCTCTCTCTCTCTCTCTCTCCGTCCAAGTCTCTCTCTTGCTGTCTCGCTCGCTCTCTTTTGCTGTCTCCCTCGTCCTCTCTCTCTTGTTTCCTTCTGTGTCCCCCCCGTCCCTCCTCTGCACAGAACTGTGCTGCTCGACTTTTATGGTCACTGATGGAGCAGGGAAAGGGAAGTGAAGGCTTTGAAAATAGACACTGTTGTGTTCATCTGTATTAGCAAGTTACAACATTAAAGGGAAATTTTACTCACCTTTTAACATTTTCTGTATCATTAAATGTTTAAGATGGAAACAAAGTAACAGAGTGGTTTTGTGTGAAATGCTCCATTCTAGAGGAACTTACCATGTAAGAATTCTTCACAGTGGTGGTGATAGGATACCAGACATCTGAAGAGTTTAATGCCTCTTAAAGCTCCCTCACAGTAAGATATTACATGACATGATTACAAATACATAACCTTATGTCTGAGACATTTGTTTGATGGTAGTTAAAAGGCGAAATTTCATATTTAGACCGATTATCCATTATCGACGTTATGTATAAAAAGAATATGTGTAGATTCACTCTTTGCTTTGGATTGTAAATAAAATGGCTATATTTGCATGACTGTTTATATCTCAACAAAAATATCTTAGAGAATAATCTGTAAAAATACCCTTTTAATGTAAAGTTCCCCATTAATTCTTGACCATTTTTATTTGCTCATTAATCGTGAAATGTTCAGACATTGTCAAAAGCAACACTTTCAAATGTTATAAAAAATATGAGAAGTAAAGAAAATGGGTTTTTGATATGACAGCAATATGTTGTAGAGCTTAAATTGATTTGTTTACAGTGAATGCTCAATATTAGACACTAAACCTTTTGGAAAGTACATTGGATGCAGACAATTCTTATTTGCTTGATTCAGTGCTGTAATTTATGATGAGTAATTTCTGGACATCTATTTGCATCTAAGTGCGTTTTCTGGCGGAGACTTTTCCTGACTCTTGGAGGGTGGCCAGGGTGATTAGGGAAGGGGGCCGGTCCAGGTGTGAGGCCACCTGCGGATGTACGGTTTCTGATTTCCCCCGAGTGAACAGTCTGTAATCCCTGAGTGCACAGAAATAGCCCCTCTTAGTGACATGATAGAGCACGCGAGGAAAGAGGGGGCTGCTTGGCCATCTCCAGTTTTGTAACAACAACCAGCAATTGAAGAAATGTGGAGAGTAGAGCCGTCAGTATTGATTATATTAACAATTGAGTAATTTTCTGAACATCGCTGCTGTCGGAACAAAACCTCATATCTCCATTTTTGTTGTTTTTCAGTTTCTGACATAATCTGAAAATGCATTTTGCCTTTCACATTGTGTGAGCAAGTTAGAAGAACAAATGTTTGGTTCCAAATTTTTCCGCCAGCCATTGCATTGATTTGTTCAATTCCGTTAACAGCACCTCCTTTAATTTAATTAAGCATTAATTGGCCAAACCAGGTATTGAATGATAGCAAGACATAATATAGGGCTTCTCCAAGGAGAAGGTTTGGAAATGGTTAAGCAAACACATTAACATACATTAAATCACTTACTTGTACAACTATTATTTGTATTTATTTATTGTAATGTTAGTGCTTTTCAGAGCAAATAAACCAGATTAATAGCTTTTTATGCATAATGTTGCCAGGCATCCGAGACATTTGCACAGCACTGTATACGTAAACCCTATATAAATAAAGTATGCAGAAGTTTAAATGTAAGTGTCTGTTTGCCTGTAAAAACACTAAATAACATTTTAATAAATACAAATAAATACAGCAAACATTACAAGTCTTTTATATTAGTATGTTGGTTAGAAGAATGCAGTTAGAAGACCGCAGGTTTGGTTCCTGACTTTTTGCTGCATTCAGTAAAATATCAAGTGTGTGAATTTGGTAAATTCCATCACTAGCACACCTCATTTAATTTAATAAAGGATTGATTAGATAGAGTAGGTATTGGATAAAAACTGTTAATAGTGGACTTTCTCAAAGAGAAATCTGAAATAGATAAACTAACGTACTGACAGACTTAATCATATTTAAGTATTGTTTACTTGTTTATTTGTATGAATTCTGATCTTAGCGTATTTTGGCCAGTAAATACAGTTGCATTTTCTCTGTTTCTTACTGTAAGAGAAAGCAGTAGCAGAATTAAAAATGTGCATTATCATAATGTGAATTGCCAACTAGTCATTTCTAAAACATCAAGAAAGGACATTTTAATTTATACTTTTTTTTTTTATCAAGTAATTGTGACAGTCCTAGTAGAGAGCTTACTGTAGATGTTCCCCCATGCACGCACATGTGCACATCTGTCCCATCAACTGTTTAATTGTAAAATCTAACCGACAGCTCAGTGGCCCATATAGGCAGAATATCCTGTTTCCGATTATCCACTGCAAATCTTACTGTATGTGGCCACAAAGGGGACAGAACCTCATTATATCACTCTGGCTTCACAATGACAAGAACACAACTGCACATGTTTTTCCTAGACCTCCATCTCAGTTCAGAAAAAAACAAAAAAAGACTCTTCACATGGTCTGCTAGACAAAGGTGAGGGTAGTAAAGCCCAAAATAGAAGCACAGAAGCAGCCTGTGTCATGTAGGTAGATGAGATACATGTTATGTAGGCTGATGTTTTTTTCGTTTAGGACTGATCTCTCTGCTGTGGCACCATAGCAACCAGCAGCCTATGGAAAGTCCCATTTTAAATACGGCTCTTGCCCAACATTAGAAAGTGGAGCTATCACTTAAACGTTGACAGCTTGCCTTTATTAATTTTCTATTTGTGGTAAGTCATCTCACTGCGGTTGCAAGGGTTTGTGTGTGTTTCTGTGTTTGCGAGTGCACTGCCGCTTTCTTTGAGTGCCACCTTGTGGTAATGAAAAGGGAAAAAAGAAGGTCTTTAAAAAAAAAAAAAACATGCTTCCTTTTCTCTCTCCGCAGGGCGCAATGAGCTCATTGCCAGATACATCAAGCTGAGGACGGGAAAAACTCGCACAAGGAAACAGGTATTTAACGGCCCCTCTGTCTGACCCACTCACATCTTAGTTCATAGTAATACATGATAGCAGGGCCTGACTGATACAACCTGATACCAGAGCTAAACACTTCAGTAACATTATTGGCCTGTACAGTGAAGTATTTATATACTTAATTAAAAACAGACTCAGTACTTTCAGTTAATGAGTGATTTACTGACTAATATGATAGTCAGTTTTCAGTTGTCAAATTTTATAAAAGGATGAACAGCAGAAACTCCCAAAGATTTAAATACATTTGACATTGTGGTTTGGATGCACTGATCATTAATTCTTTTTCTAATTCTGATTTCTGTACCTCCAACGTATTTATTTTTTTAATCGCACACTATGTAGGATAAATGTACACATGACACACTTTTCACATTTCATGTACATTATTTTTGCCGATGTAATCACAATATAATGTAATGGGCCAAACTAAAAAAAATTGTAGCCTGTTTAAATAACATGAATCAAATAAAGTGGCTATTTAGCATAACAAGTCATGCATAATCATACTTCAACATTTTGGAACAGGTGTAGCAGCAGCATTCAAATACAGCACAAATAAACTTTGATCGTGCATCCCTGCTGTTCTTTATAGTATGAAACAAGTCATTTTATCAGTGGTATTTTTGTATAAACTTAAAAAAACAGGTATGTCGGTTGGGCCTTTTACAATATCAACATCATATCAGCTAGACTAAAAACTGTCCTGCCACTAACATTCAGTTTTATTCATTTCAACAGAAAATGCATGACATTTTTTTAAAGGGTCCATATAAGGAAAAAAATCGTCAGTTCCAGAGTTTGGTGTTGTCTGCAGACATTCTCCCCAGTCCATACAGTCCATGTATGGACACTAATTTATTGTTTTTGTGATGTCACAAAAACCAACATGTTCACATGTATCTGCATATTCAGCCTACAGCAGTTTAGCCCCACCCATTCACACTGAAGCTATAAGGAGTGTTTCAGCCCAGACTGCTTTCTGAATGAGACACAACACAGGGCAGCCATTTAGAACAGAGCTCATTTACATGCATCAGCCTTAAAGCCACAATAACACAAACAGTCTGTTTAGTTCAACGGGATAAAGACGAGTTGGAAAGTATTTATGTAAAAATGAATTGAACTGTTTTTGGTACGTAAAACCATCTTAAGACATCTTAAGTGGACCTCAGGGGAAAATTAAACACAGCAATAATGTAGAATATGGGCCCTTTAAAGAAACTCCATTTAATGTGTAATGGACAATAACATTGTCTTCTCACTTCATAACCATGGTTCTGGCAGATGCACAGTAGACTATCTTTGTGTGTGTGTTTTTGTGGTGGGAAGGTGTGTCTGCATGTGTGTTTTAAAACCTTCTCACACTCCTTCAGGTGTCTAGTCACATACAGGTGTTAGCACGGAAGAAAGTCCGCGAGTTCCAAGCGAGTATAAAGGTAGGTGTCTCCTGCTGGCCCCCCCGGCTAGCATGCGAATGGGCGTCTCTTTCCTCCTTGGTTAAGGCTTCTCTTTTCTCTCTCTCTTTTTCTTTCTTTCCCTCCACTCCCCTCTTTTCTCTTTGCCCCCTCTTCCTCTTCTGCAGGTTTCTAGCCATTTGCAGGTTCTTGCCCGGAGAAAATCTCGCGAAATACAGTCAAAGCTGAAGGTATGCGCTTTCCTGCAGGTGGGGGCGGGGCTTTGCAGCGTTTGGCTTTGCGCTAACCAATCAGAGATTACTTTACTGCATGGAACCGCGAGTTCCACCGTTCCATTGGCTGACCGAAACCCTGAAAAAGAGCTGAATGAAAGATAAGACCTCCTTAAACAAAAGGCTGCTTGTGTTAGACGGAGGCGCTCAGAAGCTACTGTGATGTTTTGCTGTAGAGTATGGTTGGATAGTTTCAGTGTAGTTCAGTGTCTTGCTTTGTAGCAGAGAAGGCTGAAAGTGCATGATGGCGCCATGCTCTCTGCCTGTAGGCTTTCCTGAGGCTCCCTGTCTCTTCAATCTTTTCCCCTCCTTTCATCCAGACCCCCCCTGCTTTGTCAGTCCCACCTCTTCAGTTAATTCTGTTCAGAACACTCTCGGAACAAACCACACAGGTGGATTTGAAACAAAAGCTTTGTTTTTTTTTCTTTACACTGACATTATGCATAATAGAAAGTTAGGGAAAACGTCAATCTCTGGAAGCTTTAAAAAAGCTTTAAAAAAGTACACTGTATGTTCAGAAATATGTGGATACCATCACACCAATGTGAGCTTGTTGGACATCCCATTCCAAAACCAGAGGCATTAATAAGGAGTTGCCCCTCCTTTAACACCCTCCACTCTTCTCGGAAGGCTTTCCACAAGTTTTTGAGTGTGTCTGTGGGGAATTTGTGCCCATTCAGCCAAAAGAGCATTTGTGAGGTCAGGCACTGTTGTAGCCATGTTCAGGGCTGTGCAGGCCACTGGAGTTCCTCCACACCAAAGTCATTAAACCATGTTTTTATGGACCTCACTTTGAGCACAATCAGGCTGGAACAGGAATAGGGGGCTTCCCCAAACTGTTGCCACAAAGTTGGAAGCATGTCATTGTCTAAAATGTGTTTGTGTGCTGAAGCACTAACATTACCCTTCACTGGAACTGAGGGCCCTGGCACAAACACTGAAACACAGCCCCAGCCCATTTTCCCTCCTCCAAAGAACTTTACTGTTGGCACTGTGCATTTCAGTAGGTAATGTTCTCTTGGCATCTGTCAAAGCCAGAGTCGTCCATCAGACTGCCAGGTAGTGAAACTTGATTCATCACTGCAGAGTCCAGTGGAGCTGTGCTTAACGTTGCTTATAGTGATCTTAGGCTAGCATGCAGCTGCTTGGCCATTTCATGAAGCCCCTGACGCACAGTTGTTATGCTGATGTTGCTTTAACAGGCAGTTTGGAGCTCTGTAATGAGCGATGCAGTAGATATAGATAGAAAGGTGCACTCGATGGCCCACTCTGTGAGTTTGCATGGTCTCATGCCTTATGTCTGAGCTGTTGTTGCTCCTAGACGCTTTCGTTTCACATTAATACCACTTACAGTTGACCGGGGCAGATCTAGCGGGGCAGAAACCTCACAAACTGACTTGTGGTAAGGGTCACTGAGCTCTTCAGTACGACCCATTCTACTGCCTTTGTTTATGGAGATTGCGTGGCTTTGTGTTTTATTTTATTATCAATAATAATAACCTCTTAATAAAGAGTGGTGTCCACATATTTTTGGCCATATCATGTATTTGACAAACTGTTTTGCACCCTTAAAATATTAAGTGATAAAAGTCATTACAGTAATTTCATAGTGATCAAAGTCAGTAATTCATTATGATGCTTTGGTACCCCCTAGTAACATAGACCTGAAGCTGCATGCTACAAGAAGTATATTATATGATTCCTTGTGACTTTCATTATCTTATTAGTCAATTCTGTTTTCTGTTTAGGGACATAAATGCTCCAGTTTAATGATCCTACATTTAATTTCTCTAGTAGTTTCGCTACTTTTTTTTAAAGCTGTGATAAAGATTGTCTTCTATATCTTATTCTTTATCTGATATCTGTTAGTACTGATAGTAAAACTTATTGAATGACTTTTTTTCTTTAATAAATAATGCAGGTGTTCTGCAACTCCCCAGCTCATATCTGCAGTTACAGAAAAGAAAATTGCACTTGAATATATAGAACATGATGAGAGCCTGGTTTCCCACAGGTAGTAATGACACTGTAGCTTATATATATAATTGAGAAATATACTGATTATTTTGGCCATTAATGCATTAACTCAAAAACAGCAGCAACTTAAGTATAGCCTTTCAAAGAATCCAAAAAACTTGGAATGCCGTAAAAAGTTTTATATATTATGCAAATATATTATTATTATTATTAAATTTATATATTATATAAAAATGTGATATAAATGCAAATAAATACATACAGTTTGTGTCCATCAGGCTCCGTTTATTACTGGCTAGTAGAGGATTTAAAATACATTATCAGCATGCAAACAACCAGCTAGTCATTACTGATTTATCAAGAATGGTAACTTTTTTAATCAGTCGTTTCTTAAAAGTTGAGTGATCGAGTTTGAGTAATCACAAGAGCTGCAGCATTACTATGCATTTGTTATTGAACGACTTGAGAATCACTCCAGCTGTGTTATCCTGCAAATCTTCATGCAGGGACACTTTGGGAAACCAGTCCCACATATGTCCAAAATCTCTATCAGAACTGTTCAGGAATGGACTACTTGGTTAGTTTTTAGTGTATCTGATGAGATAGAAGAAAAAAATAGTCCCAAAAGACAGCAAGAGAAAACTAAAACGCAGCTCCCCAGAACATTGTTACTAATGGTCTCTCTTTCTTTTGATTCAGGCCATGAACTTGGTAAGTGTGGATTACGTTTTTGCTTCGCTTTGCCACACCCCACACAGCTAATGCCCAGCGCTCCTCTTCCACTCTCCCCATCCCTCATCCTGCTACATGCCTGTATGTCCCATGAGCCTTTAGTCAGTAATATGCCTGGACATTGTGTCCCCATGCATTCCCTGCTTCAGCTAAGTGTCATGACCTGTTCATTTTGGTGATTATAGAGGACAGCAGTAGGTAGCATTTGTGGGCACAGTGCAAAATCACATACCCAGATTGACAGCTGTCCTTGAGAAATCTTAGAGCCTGTGACAGCCTATAATATGAATGTGACAAGCTACTAAATAACAGGCTATGATATATGCATCCAGAAAGTACTGACAGACCCACGTAACCATGTAAAAAGTAGCTTATAATGATGGGAAGGCATAAGATGTTCTTTCAGAAAATGCCAGCCTGCTTCAACTGTGCCCTGTTTTTTAAGGGCTGCATCCAAAACCACATATTACTGTATAGTATAGTATAGTAAGTATAGTACATGAAAAAGTAAAAGAGCTGCAGTAAAAGAGGTTTGATAAGTTGGAACAAACAAAAAAGAACCAGTAGTGCCATATTTAAAAAAAAGAAAAAGCATCAAAAACTATGAATCGATTTAGTTGTATTCAGTATTTCACATCCTGCACTGCACTAAATCCAATTAAACAGGAGTATTATTATGATTATGCTCTCCTTGTACTGAAACAAGCAAGTGATCATCGTTCTTTAGCTACTGACAATATCCACAATATGCTATTGTATATCATATTGACCAGACTAAAACCTCCTGGTCCTCTTCAGCTTAAATATGGCATGTTTCTGCCAATTTTAGTGCACAATTTCTATTTATTTGCCAAGTTTAACATTTTATGTTTTATTTTTTCCCCAATATTAAAATGTGCCATAACTTTTGAAATGTGCAGCCGTGCGTTCTCTGTAGGGGATGTTTTAACTTTAACTAAAGGAACAAAACATGTAATTTGACTGGGGGCAACCAAACTTTTACATACGACTGTACATACTATACTCAGAAATGTGCTATGAATGGTGGTGGACTGTTTTTGACAGACAGTTTAGGTGGTATGGTAATATGTAATTTTGGATGCAGGGTGTGCCTGAAATCCCCATTAATTCAGGTAGAGACCATTCTGATTGGCTGTGTATTAAGACAGGCTCGAAGCAGAAACTGAACTGATTAGGTTGATAATATTGGTACTTAATGAAATTCCAAAGACTGGCTGTTGTGTCGTGTCCGTGACTCGTATCACAGTGTGTGCTCAGGTGCCTCTCTGCTAATCAGCTTCTCATTACTGCCTCTGCTTGTTTCCTCTTTCCACTCTTATGGAAACCCAGAAGAGCACTTGTAGCAAACTTTTCTCATTGACAGACAAGATTAATTAGACAATCTTCATCATTTTTGCAGAATAAACTAATAGTGGTTGGGGGTGGGGGTGGGTGTTATCCTGCACTGAATTTGCATCTATTATGTGCTCTCTGATTTCCTTCTCTGGCATTTGGGTTGAAAACCGCTGCATTTGTTCATGTCTCTGATGATTTTAGTTGTTTTAAAACTGAATAGAGAAGAACAACTTATTTGTAGAATTATTGAAAGCCGAAATATAGAGGTTGTTTTACTCCACTAAACTGTAGTACCAGACTGTAGCATGTGTCTCTAAGTGTGTGAGTGTGGAATATTCCTCTCACTGGTGTCTCCTGCTCATCCCTCAGGATCAGGCGTCTAAAGACAAGGCTCTTCAAAACATGGCGGCTCTCTCCTCGGCCCAGATAGTGTCTCCAAACCTGATCAAGAGCCAACTTCCCCCACTGCCCCAGCCGCCTTACCCGCCACCCGCTCTAGCCCCAGGCTCCAGAGTAGGTCTAGATATGAGAAAGTACCCCCTGACGATACATGTGATACCTTATCTATGGTCTTAATTTCCCCTTTTTTACATTCTTTTTTATCTTTTGTAGTTTTGGCCAACTCCAATTCCAGGACAACCTGGACCCTCTCAGGAGTAAGTTTTCTACGTATTTTAGATGGCTGCATGTTCTAAAGGCTGCATTATACTACATTATCTATGAATCCGTAGACATGTGTCATCATGCGCAAATGTTCACATGCATGTCTGCCATCATAAATGCATAGCATAAACATGTGCACTAGGGGACAGTGTCCAAGCCATAATGTACAGAAAACAAAAAGGGAAGAAAGCTCACATGACATTGGATTTGGATGTAAGAAGTAAAGTACTGTATGTGATGTAAGACTGATTTATATTTCTGCACCTCATCTGCCAACCGATCCTCATACTGCTCCACTTTGATTTCACGTTAGTTCTGGTTCAGGTTGATTATAGACTTCTGAAGTGTATTCGTTCTAGGATCCGGCGTTATACACATATTAGGAATGCTGGATCTAAGCTGTTTTCAATGTGAGAAAAATGAATGCTGAAATCGCCTCAGTCATGCCCCCTGGTGAACAAAAACGTTCTAAATCGCATGAGTTTAGTCTTATGTACATTTGTTTTGCAGTCAAAATACAAATAATGCTGCATACATGCTACAAGTAAGCTAACACTGCTGCAGACTGAAATGATGCTGCACAAGTCTACTGTTATATATGAACATTACCTGCTCAAACTGCCAAAGCAACTGAACTACCACATTTGATAAATGATGTCAGTTCAGTGCACAGCAGTGTTAGCATGTAGCATTTGAATTTCAGTTTCTTCACGACTTTGTGATTCAGAAGATCGATGTTCAGAGGAAAATTTCCAAATGGCAAAACATGTCAGCTTTGGAATATTTTTGTTTACCACAGGGTGCAATAACTCTCTTTTTTTTTTTTTAAATACTGTTTTTATGGACATGAGCCTAACTACACGCCTTCGGAGAGCCAGTCAGTGTTTGCTTGATTTGCACTGCTGTACAGATTTGGAGATATTGTGCACGTCATGGCCTCTGTGAGCTCTGGTTCCCCATTAACCAAGGATGTTTTGACATGTTATATTTAAGCAAAAACAAATGGAGAAAAAATAGTATGCTATTGCTGCAGGCATTTAGTGAAACCCTTATTCCTGTGTTAATAAACATTAACATTATTAAGTAAAGTTATTGTCTATTATCTGTCGAATAATAAAAGAATAATGTTTATATTTGCAAAGTTAGTGTTGGTTCCAGACGTTTGCAATACACCTTTAAAAACAAAAACTGGATTTTTTTTTCCCTCTTCTCAAATGGTACTAATGGAACACTGTTGTTGCAGCATCAAGCCTTTTGCACAGACCTATCCAAACCTACCTGGACCTGTTCCGCCTCCCATATCAGGTATATTTTGGTTTCTTCTCTCTGTATTTGTATAATGGTAAGAAGTTTGTAGCTGTTTTTGCTCGTGTTTCACGGGTGTCCTCCTGTGTCGTGTGTTCAGCCTATGAGCCCCTGGCACCCCCTCTCCCACCAACGGCCACTGCGGTGCCTGTATGGCAGGATCGCACTATCGCCTCCTCTAAGCTGCGCATGCTGGAGTACTCCGCCTTCATGGAGGTCCCTCGAGACCAGGACACTGTGAGTAATTATACACTGCACAAACCAGTGTCTGATTTCTCCGGCTTTCTTCATACTATGAGCAGTTGGATTTCTTTAACGACTTAAGCAGGGCTCGCACACATTTTGGAAAACCAGGAAATTAATAGACTAGATTTGCAGACATGGATATCACTTGGAAAATAAGAAAACTGAGAAAATGTCCTGGAAAATTAGCGGGGTCCTGGAAAACTGTGAAGCTAAGCTGTGCAGATTGCACAATTTATTATAAGTTTGCCTGCTAATGCTCAGTGTCCATCCATTCCCTTAGTAGTTTGGAATACAGTGTTGCATGTAGACAGATATGCAGATTCTTTGTTGGCCTGGTAGAGCAAGGCTACATTAACAGCTTCCTGCCGTTTGTAGCATTCGATTCTAGTGTTTTAGTAGGACTTGTGATCGTATGGTGATTGGTCGAGGGCTGGTTTGTGTGCGAGTCAGTACGGGGTCGTTACGTGTTGGATCATCGACTTTAATGTTAAGGATGTTGGCAGCCGTGCATCATTTTAAGGCAGCCTTTCATGAGCCACAACTATTGTGTATGTATGTCATGGAATTTGTCCTGGAAAATGATTTCCTAAATTGAGTGGGAACCCTGTTAAAGTACAAGTCTGACAAATAATGAAATTTACACAATTTTTACCTTTCTCTAGATGTAGTCATTCAGTCAACCATATGTTTAGTGCTCTTTACTTCATCACTGGATATAGTTAGTGTTCATTACTTGACAACTCAATGCAGTGTAAGCAGCAGCAAGACCGTGGTGATTTAGACATGCTGTTTGCATGATACAAGCTGCCATCTATTGAGGAAGCATCTAGCATTTCATAACACTTAAATTGCCATACATTTCAATGAAGGACAAATAATAATCCCATGGTGAGCATATAAAACTCAGTGATCTGGCCTCAGTATAATTTCTTGCTTTATTTTTCTTTTTACAGTACAGCAAACATCTGTTTGTGCACATTGGGCAGACCAATCCCTCGTACAGTGACCCCCTGCTGGAGGCAGTGGACATCCGGCAGATCTATGACAAATTTCCTGAAAAGAAGGGTGGGCTGAAAGAGCTGTACGAAAAAGGCCCCCAGAATGCCTTCTTCCTGGTCAAATTCTGGGTGGGTGAATTTTCAGCAAATCACTCAGCAGTTGATATATTAGTTGTTTGTTGTTTAGAAGTGAAACTATCACTGAAATACTGAGACTCATCTGTCATTCAAAAAATCATTTGTGTATTGTTATGAGTGTTCAGAAAATATCATTAAGCTCACTTACAGTCAAGGGCTATAACTAGTTGAATTATGACTGGGGTGGAAATGGGATAGCTTACATGCTGATAATGCTAGCTTTCTAGCTAGCTCACGTTACCTTGTAATAGTGCTTGGCAACTTTATCCTCCTCTGAAAGAATAAAGCATTAGTTCAGCTGTGTTTCTGTTAGTCTGACAGTTTCTCAGTAATGTGGTTTCACCAAAGTTAAATCCTTTCAACGTTTTCTTTTCAACCTTAGATTACAGTAGTGTAGTCAGCTCAAATAAATGGTAAAAATAGTACATGAAGGACTTGAAGGTGAAGAACCTGTTTTGGCTCTGTTGCAGGCTGATCTGAACAGCAGTGATATGCAAGATGGACCCGGCTCGTTCTACGGCGTCAGCAGCCAGTACTGCAGCACTGAGAACATGACCATCACCGTCTCCACTAAAGTCTGCTCCTTTGGCAAGCAGGTGGTGGAGAAAGTGGAGGTGAGTCAGATCTCTCCACCTTTCAGTTCCAGCTCAGAACACATAACACTGAACTGAACTGGAAAACAAGTGAGATTTTGTCCAGCAGGGAGTGCTGTAGCTTTGTGCTGAAAGCAGGTCATTTTCTTGTCATACTGAAATGAGTACTTACTGTTGTTTGTATTTTACACATCGGTGAAAATGTCTGTGTGAGTAACTAAAATGCAACTACTTATTAGTCTGTCACATTATTACAGTTTCTAATGTTTATTATATTTTTATATGTTCATTTGATTGGCAGACGGAGTATGCACGAGTAGAGGGTGGAAAGTGTGTGTACAGGATCCACCGCTCGCCCATGTGTGAATACATGATCAACTTCATCCACAAGCTCAAGCACCTGCCAGAGAAATACATGATGAACAGCGTCTTAGAGAACTTCACCATTTTACAGGTGAGAGGCAGAAAAATGTATTACAGCATGTCATAAAAATATGATTATTATGGAATCAGGTACTTTAACTTTTAAGATAGGAAGTATTAGCAAGACATATATATTTTGTAATTTATAAATATACATAATTATAATTGTGGTTTTACAGTAGTGTGTAAAAAGTCTTAGGTCAAGAAAAGACACATTAGAATAAAGATACACATAAATACAGTAAAAAATGGAAAGAAAAATGTTTTTAAAAAAGTTAGTGATCTCTTGATAGATGGTTAGGAGAAAACAAGGTTGGTTCCCCTTGGGCCTGTCACAAATATTACATAATCAGCCAATTTGGCCCTTTTAGGGTTATAATTTTAATGATTGCATACAATGAACAAAAAAGGCAATTAAATTGAATCTTGTCATGATTCTGACATGCCTAGTCCCTCTTGTCCTTGATGGACCTCGGATATTGTCTGGATTTGTTTCTAAATTTCTGCGTAATTCAGTTATTGAGATACAAAGTCAACCTGAGTTTGATGTGAAATCGTTTATTGTAGAGAAGCTCACTGACTCAGATTCCTTTACCGTGTTGGTGATAGAGCCAGGGTTATGTCTACAGTGCAAATAAAAAATAATTTCATAATAATTTTTTGTATGTAATGTTGGGGCCGTTTTTTATATGTAATGTTGGGCCTCACAATGCCCTGCATGTACCTTTCCACATGGATGAAGTTAAAAAAAAAAAAAAACTGTCATAAAAATGTCTCAGACATCAAGCAGTGTATCCATAACCATTTCCTGTGATGACGTCCTGTAAGGGAGCTTTTAAAAGCAGATGTCTGGTTCCTGACTCAGTTTCTCTAGAGCAGAGCATTTCATTACTTTGTTTACACTTTAACAAATGAATTATGCAGAAATTAAAAAAAAAAGTCTGTGAAATCCTCCTTTGACATCTGATTTGTCATAGCTGAAGCAGGTATTGGATGGTAACTTCAAATAATGAATTCAAGTAGAGGAAATGGTAAAGGAAACAGACATAAAATTACATTTTTTTGTATTAATGATTACTTGTATTTATTCTAATGTTAAACACACGCTCCCTAACTTTAAATAGCTTTAAATATAATGTGCTTATATGGCCTAAGACTTGTGTGCAGTACTGTGAGTCGTGTATTATAGATTTGTCTGTATCTTTATTAGATCTTTCCATTGTATTCTTTCTCCTTCCAGGTGGTGACCAACAGGGAAACGCAGGAGACCCTGCTATGCATAGCGTTTGTATTTGAAGTGTCGACGAGCGAACACGGGGCGCAGTATCACGTCTACCGGCTCATTAAAGACTAGCCACACCTGTGAGAACGGGCTTTGCCAATGGACACTCTGTCGCTTTGTGCAATCCCACCACAGACTGTCCAGACGTCAGAGCGATACACCAGCATGTTGGCGAGAGCGGACGCGTTTTCGATTCTGTACTGATCCGGGTATACTGTAAGTGGACGGAGGCTTGAGCAGAGGGGCGTGGAGGAATGGAAAAATGAGAAGTGTAGTATTGCTCTGTTAAAGGACAATCTTTTTTATACATATTTAATGCCTTAAAAACAAAATGGGTCACATAGGTTTTTTTTTCTTTTTTGTTGCGTACAAATTCTAAATGTCTTTTATGCTCTTTTTGTTATTTGTCTTCACTGAGGGACTATGAATGTTGAATGCATTGCAGGAAGGAAGGTTTTTAATAATGGAAGACAATGTGTGTCCTTGGCAGGTGCACAGTACGTACTAGAAGTAAGGACCAGGGCCTCAACAAGAGGGTTATAGAAATTTTTTTATAAAGGACAGGTCTGCTCTAAACACACTGCAGCTGTTTCTCCAACATGAGAGCTGACATTAAGTGACAACTGTGGTCTTCGCCATCTTAACCGCCCCTTTTTTGCTATTCCTGAGTGAATGACAAACAACAGTTTGATGTCAAACTAGCACACGAAGTTAGGCCAATAGTTTGTTCAATATTTGTCCATGTACAGTGAGTGAGAGACTGCAGTGCATTTGCATTGATCTGTCCTTTATCCAGCATGGAGGTGTCAGAAACAGGAAGGCCTTCATGGCCACCAAATGATTATTAGGCTTGTGAATGTGGCAAGTGCTTCTCTCCAAAGAACTCAATATGGATTGACATTCTGAAGTGCCTTTTTTTGACTACCTCTTGACATGAATTGATATAATTATGTGCTAATGTTTTTGATACTAGAGCATGACTAAGCATTTAAGTCTTTGTTTCTCAAAACTCACTTTTTTGGTTTGAAATGCTGTTTGTAACGAGTATATCGGAGCATAAATGAGCATTCGAATGCGCTCATTACAAACAGATAGTGGCACATGTACTAAACAGAGGTCAGATAAACTTGACTGTCAGCAGCGTTAAATCGCCCTCTAACACAAAGAAAACAGCTTTACAGTGGCTGCCTATCAGTCAGTTCTTTTATGATGGTAGTGGTACTATACCTCTAATGTTTCTCTTTTGTTGTTGTTGTTGTTATTGACAATGGAAAATCTTGCCTTTTTGTATTCTCTGGTGCTTTTTGGATCCTTTTAAGAGATTCTGCATTATCAAGACTTTGCTTATCAAGACGCAATTCTCCCTCAGATAATAAGCTCTTGTGCCATCCGCAAAGTTTGCAACGTGCATTGAGCAGCCATCTTCAATTCATGTGGAGCACTGGGAACACTACATTTGTTGTTGTTTTTGTTTTAACTCTCCCCAGTGCATCTGAAAGGGACAGTTAATGATTTCATCCTCAGCATAATCGTCATTCCCACCAGTCTGTCAAGGTTTGTGGTGTCAGTCTTTGCATGTGCATCGCATTTTAGGTGTAGAGTAGAGTTTTAAAGCCAACCCTGTTGACCTTAGAGTCACTGTTGCGTTCACTTAAGTCACTGCCAGTTGCTGCCATAATGCACCCAATTGGAGGTCTATTAAATGAAATGTTTCACAATAATGGGATCATGGATAGTTTTCAGTACTGCTGCAGGTTTACTGCAGTATGCTACTACTGACTTTTCTCAAAACAATGTACTTGACAACATATCAAAAACTTGAAAAAATATCAAATTGGAAAGTGCTGTTTCCCAGAAGACTGTATTATTTTTTTTGTCCCTCCCAGCCACTGATTGCTAGAGGCAGCCCTGCTTGTGTGAAAGCTATTCCACATTTTGGAAAAGGTATTCTTTAATAATATTCATATTAGGATTATTTAAGGGTACAGTATTGTTGGTGTCTTAAGAAAACCTGGTGCCCCTGAGAAAAAAGGAAAAATCCTGTACTATGTTTAAACCAAATTGCCATGACTTTAAAGGTTTAATATGCGAAAGGCAAAACAACTATTCTCAGAGTTACAGGTTTTCCTGCGATACCGGCAATAATTCAGTTGATTCATTGTGAATGGTTTGGCATAAGCTTTAAACGAAACAAGATTTAAAATAATAATTTGTCTAGTAATTCATTCACGACAAGGTACTCTGTAGTATATTGACAATGACAGACTTCGAGGTTCAAGCTGTCATTTTGCTTCATCAACTGAATTGGTACAACCTTAGCCTATAAACGGTGTCGTCTGTGAACTTTGACGACAACTTCCTCAATTGTTCTTTTTTACAGGCTGTTTTTTTTTCTTTTGTTATAATTATTAATTTTATGTTTGCTATCTTTGACTTTCAGTTCATGCTGTATGCATCAATTGAAAATGTTGTGTGTTACTGTTGAGATTTTATATAATAATCTAAATGGTGTTGGAGTTTGTTTTTGTTTTTTTTCCCTCCTTACCCAGTAACGGTTCACTGTGGCCTTGGTTACCAACTGTGCATTGAAGTCATTTATATTATATTATCTACAATGTGAGGGGTTTGTACAATATAATCTGAACAGTATGTATAGTAATACCAATAAAATGTTTTGGTTCCCCTTGGGACATTTTTCTTCATAAAGCTCTGAGTTGTGAAAGTCTTTTTCCCTGTTTGAGTTGTTTCTGGTCATTAGGCTACAGTGTGGTAACATTAGGCTAGCTGCATTCTAAAAAGAAAACTTATGAAATCGTGGTTCTTCAGCTTGTGGTTTGTTTTAAGTTGATAATTAAATCCCAATTTATAATAAATTGTTCAGAAGTCACTACAAAATAATGTGTCAGTAGCGCAGTGAACATCTCAGCATCATCAGTTTAAATTATTGATTTGATTTTAGATTATTTCTGTGGTGTGTTGTCCTTCAATATTCTTTCACTACATTACCCAGATTGCATTACACAAATACCCTTTGAGTGAGTCCTTAATGAATGGGAATAAATAGGGCTCAAAGGCTAATAATGAAAAGTTAACATAGTTTCTAATCACTCGCCCAGAACTTTCCTTTAATTTTAGAAAGTAGAAGGATGTATTTCACTAAAATAGCAAAGAAAACTCACCTGTATGTTTCCTTTTTTCTACAGCAAACGGGTTTTGGGCAGCAGGACGCTAACATTACTGCTACTGAGTGCTGATTGGTTGGCAAGCAGAGCAGCTCATTGGCTGTTCGCGTTCACACACGTCATGAACGTACATGAGGCGCCGTTTTAAACTCCTATTACTCGAGTTCAAAAGCTCTTAAAAATATAACTGCAGTGTTAAAAATGTTTTATGCTGTTCTGTGTTCAGGAATTAATGTATTTTTGACATTAAGAATGTCTGAGCATTTATAAACTATGATTTTGCTCAAATGCTCCATCTTAATCCATTCATTTTGGACTCGCTCGGGAGCGCCCTCTAGCGTTAAAGAACATTACAGAGTGGTAAGTTCTACAAGTTCTCTGGTGGAACCATTACTGCTTTAAAGAAATTGAGTCTGCTAGTGCAGTCACTCATTTAGACGCTAATAGATAAGACTTGATATTGATATTTAGCTTCCTGGCAGTAATTTTTGCATTAACCAGATAGCAAAATTAAGGATCCACCACAAAGGACTTGGTAGTTTTTCTAAAGTTCTTCCCATCTTCAAGACACATCACAAGAAGGGGGTTTGCATATCCTTTTAACCAGAAAATCTCTCTGCAGACTCCTGCGGCACTGCTGTGAGAGGAGAGCAGGTTTACAGCGGAGATAGTGATGGTTTATTTTTTTATAGCCAGTGTCCCTTTAAGCAGAAGGCCACGAAAGAACTCAATCTCCCAGCATTCCGAGCGACCACATTTCCTGTGGCTGTTTTGTATGTGGCGTGTCACTTTTACACCATCTCATGCGTATGTAGAGCTAGAGAGCCGACAGAGGGCGCTCGAAACCACTGAGCGCTCGACTTCAGTCACCTGTTCAGGATTCCATTCATTTTTGCTGTTTTTTTTTTCTTTCTTCTATAAGAAGATTATAAGGAACCAAAGGGTTTTAATCTTTAGAGAACGGCTACATTCTCAGGGTAAAACAATTTTAACAAGCGTTTAAAAAAAAAAAAATTTCCACATAAATCTCTTATACTGTCCTTTGAAATATCACTCGTATCTTCTCTTGCACACATTAGAGCTGTTTTATAAGACACAAGAGATCCAAATGTTATTTGTAGGGAGCGACAGCCTCCTCAAAACAAAGCGCTACTTTTCCTTTTGATAGATAGATAGATAGATAGATAGATAGATAGATAGATAGAGATAAATAAATACATCAATAAATAAATAAATAACCCCCTAAATTTCTCGCCACCTGTGTCTCTAATATCATTTGAAATATCGTGCGTATCATGCCTTTATCCGGTGTGTACGTGGTACCGGGTCAACACTACAAGCGGTTTGGGAAATCCTAGAAATGGAGGCCGAACTTCAACGCCCGAGCGCACTGAGTGCACTAATGTGCGGATTGGAACGCAGCCTAGTTAAGTAAACTTATTTTCCTGTCTACCTTCCTCGACTTTGCCAGGTCTGTCGCTCATAATGTCACCAAATATGTTAGCAGAGTGGCGCTATATGGTTTCCGCATCAGGCAAAGCAAGCAGGAAGGAAGAGACGCTTCCTTCGACTATTGGGACGCGGCCAGAGAGGACCAGCAAATCCGCATTCGGCTCTTTGTGTGGCGTCACGCGGCCATTAGAAAGGAGGAAACGGACAGCAGGACCGATGAATAAAACCAGATTTCAGCTTTGACAGCTCGTGTTTGAGCCGGCCAGCGCTCTGCAGGCAGATAAAGCAGGTCGTAAAGCAGCGTTTGACGTGGACAGACGTGCAGTTGGATTGCTGACTGTTTAGATACGCTTAAGCTTAACGGTGAGTAAGTTGAGAGGTTAACTTTCGCTGCGCTGTCCGAGTTGCTTTAGCCACTGAGAGACAACTTCTGCAAGCTGTTGAGCTGGCCAGACAGACAGTCCAGCTGATTTAATTGATTCAGGTAAAAATATGTGGCAACTTAGCTGACTGACTTTTTAGATGGCGATTTTAGATGGTTTATTTATTTATTTATTGATGGACGTCAAACTTAATTCGAGCTGAAGTGACTCGATCCGCGGTTATCTGAGTGTGGTTCGCAGAGAAGTGATGAGTAACGTTAGCTAAACCTGTAAACCTGCGTTAGACTCGCCGGTGGCTATGCAGCCGTAGCTGACAGTAATCTGAGCTCAGGGAAGGAGGTGAGACTGTTATCTCAGATGCGCAGTGAGGGACGAGGCTGAAATCGGCTTCCTATTCGAATTTTCCGCTCCACCTTAAATGGCGCAGCAGTGTTTGTCGTCTGTGCGAGCGTCAGAATGTAACTGCTGCACCATTTAAGGTGGAGCGGAAAATCCGAATGAGAGGCCAGCATCAGCTTCCTTAGTGAGTGAGGGAGGATTTGCGTGGCGCCTGTTGTGCTGCAGAGTCCATGTTTAGTGCCCTGAGTTCAGCAGGGCTTCGTGTTTTTACTCTAAATACTCTTTTGCTACCATAACAAATGCAGCTGAACTGTTCATACGAACGTTTTGAAGCTGGTTAATGTCTTCGGTTATTTAACACAGAGGGGTTATTTGTAGTTTTTACCTTCATGCTCTGATGTCCGTATTTGCAGTTACTTCATATGTAAATGATCCAAGACGCCTCAATATATTAATTTGTGGCCTCAATAAAGTAATCTGTGGCCACAAGAAACTTAACTCGTGGCCTCAATATATTAATTTGTGGCCTGAATGTATTCATTTTTAGCCACGAGAAACTTAATTCGTGGCCGCACTATATTAATTTGTGGCCTCAATATATTGTGGTCACAAGAAAATTAATTTGTGGCCTCTATATATTAATTCATGGCCTCTATATATTAATTTGTGGCCACGAGAAACTTAATTTGTGGCCTCAATATATTAATTTGTGGCCTCAAGAAATGTAACTCGTGGCCTCGACATATTAATTTGTGCCCTCAAGGTTTGAGGCCTTAATATATTAATTTGTAGTCTTAAGATATTAACTTGTGGCCAGAGTATATTAATTTGAGGCCTTGACTTATTATAAAATAATCACCATATCAGAGGCTCTGTAGTTGACTGTGAGGTGTTGGTCCTTTCCTGAATAATCTGTTCAATAATCATGTTCCTGTCCTCAGCTCATGTTTATGACAGTAAACTTATAACTGTAAACCTATTTAGTCATAAGTCAGCACAAGAGTGTCAAAAGCCTGTAGACATTCCTCTGTATAACTGAATTTGGCAGCTCATTAATATTAGACTTTCATTAGACTCCTACAAACTGCCATTAAAGGACTGGTTCACCAAAAAATCAAATTGACATAGTTTCCCCTTATGTCCTACAGCTGATTGAACAAGGCTTGTTTTGTGTCTGAACTTTCTTTTAGTTTTGGAGATATGAGGCTGAAGTAGCTAACAAGTTATGTTAGTATGTCACTCAAAAGCTGTCACCCAAAAATTCTATTTTAGCTATTTATCTCCACTCCAAAACTACAGAAGCAAACTTCAAACACCAAATATGTCTTGGCTGATCAACTACACTTAGAGGTAAGATGGAAAACAGGGTAAATTTGATTTTATGGTGAACCAGTCCTTTAAACCATCAATAAATTGTCGTTAGCTATAATGCATTGATTAAATGTTATGTTGAGATACTGATATGTCTCCCAATATCTTCAATCATTTAATTATTAAGCTAATTAAGTATTAATTCACTTGGTAATGAGTTTATACTCATGTAATATTTCCCTGCATTGCAAGTAGTGCACATAGAAATGTTTATTTGTGGGATGCAACAACCTGTTCATTCTTCTGGTCTCGGGTGGGTTTTCATTGTATTTCTAAATGTGTGTTTACAAGACAGACACCATGACAACAATCAGATTTAGGGAAATACAGCACTGGTACCAGTTTACTGCATGTTTAAGGATTTCAGAGAGTGTTGCAATTTATTGTAAATGCTAGTTTGTACTGTTATGTAAATCTTGGTGATGTAGTAGCTGTGTTCCAAAAGCTAGACTGTGGTCCAGGTGTGTTAGATCACTACGCCATCAAAGTCTGTTCCAATTAGATCCTTCAGTTGAGAAGTGCGGCCTACGTTCTGACAAGGATGCTACAAGAGTATCCTTCATCTTCTGTCACCCATAAACTTTTAGAAAGTCTTTTAGAGAAACAGCGGTAGTTTAAAACAACTGATACATGTTTTTTAAAAGTTGTGAATCTGTTAGAGAGGGTGTACACTGAACGCAATGCACCTGTTTTCAGTGAGCTGAACAGTTTTTAGCTGCAGGTTAGCATTTAATGACACACAAATTAATGTTTTGCCTGCCCCATATTACATAATTCACTTCAGTGCTTTCCCTGCCAGCTTAATATCTTTCACATCAACTGTTTTTTCTTCATCAAATTTCACACCAACTCCTTTCCAATGATCTGTCAAAGTGGCCTTGGTAGGCCGTTCTGTTTTGCCTAATGTGATACAAATGAGGAGTCTTTGTAGGACAGTGCTGCAGAGGACCCACCTTTCTCAGCTGCAGGCTAGCTTTTGGAGCACAGCTACTGTGAGCAACTAAGCGCCTTTTTTTGCTTGCTGACTCTTTGTTCTCCCTGTGCTGGTGTAGCAGTTGTTGCAGAACGACACAAGCTCATCCCAGCACACCCTGTCAAAGTGCTATGCCTGCCGAGATGCCTGTAAGGCTACGCGTCTTCTCCCTCAACTGCTGGTGAGCATACATAACCGCACGTTTCCACACATACATACACACAAAATTCTAGCAGTAATTATAATGAAGGCCCTAAAAATGTAATTTAATCAGGTCTCTTCTTTCTCCTCCTTTGTGTCTGAGTCCAAGCAGTTCTAGGCTAATTGGTGAATAATTTAAACACAGCCACTATCAAGTGTATCGCAGTAGTGTGCAGGAAGGGAGGGCTGTGGCATATTTTGATACAGTAACAGAGTAACATGGTACCGTATTCCAGAGAATCCCAACCACCGGTCGCAGACTGGTACTGTTCTATGGTTCGTTTGAATCCAGGCCGCAACTGCAAGGGGGAGTTTAGTAGCTTATCTGTTGAAATCCACTATTTTATTATGAACATTAGCATAATTAATATGATTTATAATATCAGTCATTATTTAAGACTCAGTTATTTCCTTTAAATCCTATGCAGTTTTAAACATTGGCATATCTCACATCTCTTTATTGCCTTGTCAGTGGGTTTCGGTTGCTGTTGGCTGCTTTCAGCTGAAGCCTTGACTGAAGAAGTGAAACATGAATAGACTGACAACATTCAACAATATTAACAAGTGTTTTATTGGGGCTGCAAACATAAGACAAAAAGCCAATATAATATCAGGATAAAAAAGCAGCAGAAAAAAGAACATATAAGGAAAAACAGGGTGAAAGATCTACGGTAGATCTGTCCAAAGCAGCCACACAGTCAGGAGAGAATCAACAGGAGCCCCACATTTACAGCAAATCACCAAATATGTTACAGTTCAGGAAATGTCTGCTGATTGTCTGCCCACAACTTTCTGCACAGTTTAGTTTCAAGTTGTTTGCCACCATAGAAGCATATACAAAATAGTGGGTTTAGTGAGGCCTGGTGATTGGTTAGCGGGCCTATATAGGCTAGTAATGTGTGTCATGCCATCACACCCCCTACTGCCTCCAGCATCTCCCCCCAACTTGTCTGCGCAAACTGTTGTGGCTTTGTAACATCTACCACATGCTGTCCAGTCATGTTACACTTCAGCTTCTTTCTTTTGGTGTAGGTTAATTTATTGCTACATGATTACTTGGAAGAAATGATGTTGTCAGCAATGTGATGCAATGTTTCTGTGTTTGTCTGCTTGTGTGTGTGTGGTTTTAGGGGAATCCACTATCTCAGTAAGCACTGCGCTCAGCGATATGCCATGATTGGAGACCTGCTGAGCAAGGAGCAGCATGATGTAGCATTACTGCAGGAGGTGAGACCTTCACACATATATTAGTCACTTAACGCATTGAAACCAAAGGCTTATTATTAGGGGCTGACCGATATGAAAAGTTTGTGCCCAATATGCTTACAATTCTGATAAATGATAATATTAGCTGATATAATTTTATATTTATATTTAAGGTTTTAATTTTATACTTCCAGCAGTTTAATTTAAACTGTGTTTTACTGAGTGATCGTTACTGCTCAGTTATCTTCGTAAATTCAGTTAAACGATAGAAACTTTTGCTACTGTTCTGGTCCTCCCCCGGAAGACGTCGAGGACTGGAAAGGGGCAGGAGAAACTGAGGGAATGAGCAGTAACAGGGAAACGAGACAGCTGATCTGTTCCATTGACATCAAATCAAAGCCAACAGTCAACATGTTCACTTGAAGGCACACTGTAATACTCCTGGTGGCCAGTTGCATTTACTACTGGGCCAGTCTAGTTACAGTTGCGCATGACCTTCTACTTCAAGTTTTGGATTTGTGTAGAAGCTGCACTATGTATGTTTTGTCAAAATTGAAAAAAAAGACAAAAAACAGAAATATGGTGTGCGTACACTTCTGTAAGTTGCACTGTGATAAAATAATAATTTTAAAGTCCGAAATTTCAGGAGTTTTTCAGACCATGTCATGCGTCTTCACATATTAAGGTCACACAGAAATGTGCAGTGTTAAAGGGGTGAACTTGGCGGCCAGTGTTTTCCATAAAATCTGATTAGCCACCCCAGGTGTCACCCCAAAATTTCTGCCACATCTTTGGGTCCCACCTCGCTGTGGGGCGAGTGTTTGTGCCTTTAAGGGGAGAGCTGTTTTGGTACTGGCAGAACTTTCCAACAACTCCACCCCACCCTCCCCCCATTGCGAGCATGTCTGGTCTGTCCCACTTTGCCATTAGGGGAGAGTAGTTTTGCTATCGGCAGAATAGCTCTCCAAGCTCCCTGCACCTCCTCGACCCCACCCAGTCGCTCATTAACATTGAGGGAACATCTATAACATTCCCCCCTGTCAAAACTCCCTGCCGCCGCTTTGCCTCTCCTGGTAAAACTTTGTAGATCTGCCCCTGCACGCACACAGGCTGAAATGCAAAATCTACTATATATATATATATATGATATGTGATGTGATGACCATAGTAAATAATTCACTTACAGGACAAAGACATGTCCTTCACTAAGTTTTGAGTTCTATTGCTTGTGTATCTTCCGTTGGAAGCTGCTTCCACAGGCATTCGGAACTGCTCCTCTCGTCTCCTCCAGTATTTGGGCAGTAGGATGGTTTACTAAAACAGTTTGCGAATAACGGAGGGCAGGAGGAGAATTGGTAACAAAAGCTGTAATTTTTATGGTTTCTGGACGCAGCCACAGTCATATATCGCAACGTAAGATTGTAGCGCTGGAAGTGAAGCAACCCAGAATGATTTGCATGTTTGGTTTCTGTTTATTACCTTTTATTTCTCACTAGTTATGTTCATAAAAAGGTTATTTTGTGTTCTAAAATGTTCTGTTAAAGGTTTGGGTGTATTTGTATATTTTTGTTTTGTTACTATAGTGGTGTTTTTGGTTCTCCAGTTTAGCTTGTGTTCCTGTCGTGTAGCCCAATACTGAGCTGCTCAGTGGCACCACTATCTAGCGTTTTGCCCTATTATTACAAGTTTGTGAGTTCAAGTCCTTGCAGTGCTGTGTCCAAATAAACTACCATGGGTCATTAAAATGGACCAGTGTTATCAGCTAACTGATATGTATTAGTTTGGCCCTACTTATTGAAATTAAGATTAAAATAGAATAACAGTCAGGTAGAAAATGTAGGAAAATTCAATATAGACGATGTAGTAAAGTGAGAAAATGTGAGCCACATACAGGCCTTTAGGGTTGATCCCTCAAACTCATGTTCACTCTTCAGTTCAGTCATAACTACAAAACTGCAGTGCGGAAATTACTGAATAGTTACTTAACAGTTCATAGTTCAGACTGGTACTCATAGTAGTAGGACTGTCACAATTATTATATAATTGCCTGATTGCAATTATTTGAACTGATTGCAATTATTTAGGAAAACCAAAATGATTTGTCACAATCTTGTGTTTACATTACCGTAAATATAATGTGAACTAAAGTCAAATACACACAAATAAAAGAAAGCAGCAAATGCATTTATTGAGACACGAGAAAATTTCTGTATAAAAGTAACTTCCGACTTCTGTATAAAAGTAACTTCCGATTGGTGCTGTAATGCCTTTAGAGGGCGGCGGTGAGTAACGTTTGTTTATATGATGTGTGTTAATAATGCCTTTAGAGGGCGGCGGTGAGTAACGTTTGTTTATTTGATGTTTGTTAATAACACCTTTAGAGGGCGGCAGTGAGTAACGTTTGTTTATTTGATGTTTGTTAATAACCCCTTAGAGGGCGACAGTGAGTAATGTTTTGATTATGTGATGTTTGTTAATAACACCTTTTAATGTGCTTATTTGAGCTTGTGCTGTTTCTGTAGTCACTTGGGAGCTACAGAAGCTCGATGACTGATTGGCTAATTTGGCCACTTCAGGCTTGTACTGTAATGGTTGTATATAATGAAAGGCCTACATAGCAGTTACTGAATAATCATAGTGGTTATTGAATAATATAGCAAAATATGCGTTAATGACTGAATGCCTGAAAGTAAAGCCTGCGGTTTAAGGGGTAATTAACAGAAAATAAAAAGAGAGAAAATGAGCATAAACCTTCTGGTAGTCCTGGGTGGGTCTGAATTCTGCAGGGCTGTCTGTTATGCAGAGTTCTTGTTGTTAGACAAAGATCTCCCTGAGGGTACGAAATGTGGTCGCCCTCTTGTAGCATGTCCTAATTACAGCTTATTCTAAAAGGACGATGACTCTCTGTGACAGTTATGGTCAACAAAATTGTAGTGCAGTGCAAAGTAGTTGGCTAGTTTTTCAGCTCTGTAAACCAGTACAAAGCCTAAACCACAAAAAAGTTACAGAACAATTACTTACAGTCCGCACTGCACTTCTCTTTTTTATAGCCTGTAAACAGTGGTTGACATAGCCTAGAGATTAGTTTTCCTCTTTGTAGAGGAAACTTACTGTTCATCTCCAAGCTGTCATTTGTACTCATACCCGCTCATTTCTTTGGGCCAGGAGAGAAAACCGCAGGCAGTTCAGTTAAAATGCCCTTATTATAACACTTCAGCTTTAATGCCTGTTCTGTAACTGTTTTTCAGCTGAAGTTATTGTATATTATTAAAGTCAGTTTTTCAGCTTTGTGTTTTTTGTAAAAACACAGTTTTAACAATAAATGGTCTTAAACATCAGAGTTAATGTAGTCTATATCTGCTAATTCCCCCTTTAACCCTGAGGTTTGGCGCACAGACTACTGGTCACCATAGCAACACAGACAACAATCTCGCCTAGCTAGTAGTTAACGAAATGGCAAAGAAAAAGATTTAAACCGAACATCAATAATTTGGAGACGGATGGACTTATTTGCATTTATAATCACTCCAGCTGGTTTCCTGATCCGTTTAATCTGCAACGAGAAACTGTCAAACACTAAAAAGTCACAAAGCTGAAGTCAGCTTCTCATTCGCCAGCTTCTCGATTGAATTTTCCCATTCCACCTTAAATGGTGCAGCAGTTACATTCTGGTGCTTCAGGCACCGTTTAAGGCGGAACAGGACAATTCGAACAAGAAGCTGGCGAATGAGAAGCGACTTCAGCCTCATAAAAAGTTGAACATTAAGAGACGTTTTACAAGAAACTGTTCTACTTTTGTGGAAAAGTATCCTGCTGGAGATGCGAGAAAAGCTGAGCTAAAGCTTAAAACAGAGCAAAGTAAGTTTGTGTTTTTGTTTATATTACATTTTTTAGCCTATGCTAGTACATCAGCACATACTGAGACATAATTACAGCCAAGATGGTAAAATGGACATAAAATGTTGTGGTTCCCAAAGTGGTTTGATTTTTGTTGAAAGAACAAAATGGCTCTTCTTAATATTTGGGTTGCAACCCCTGACCTAACTTTTTGCACAAGATTAATATGTATAATTAAGTATTAATAAAGAGAACTGGTGAAAATAAGTGGTAATTAACAGAAATCAAAAGCCATAAAGAATTCTGGGTAGCTCCACCCTCAGTGCTGTACATTATTTAAGAAAGCTTCTGCTGTTTACTTGAGAAACGTGACATAACTGACAAATCAGTCAGTAGAGCCGTTTAACTAAAACTATTGGAGTATAACATTAAAATCCTAAACATGAATCTCAAATTATATCAGCTGATATTATTTGCTGTCAGAATTTTTCCCCTTATAAATGATTTTAGCCACAAATTATTCATATCTGTCAGGCCTTTTTTGTGTTCTTTACTGCCATGCTGGAGCACAATGTTTTGGAAAGCTGGTGGCTCACTATGTCAAACATTTCTGAATAATACGGAGTAAGAATGTTGATGTAGCAACCATGACAACCTTTAATATCTTTGACAAAGTAGCTCTGAATCTGCAACAGCAGACATGATGCCACCCTTTAGCGCTCATTTGTGAAAAGACCACAGCACGCTATCCATCTGTCTTTACTGAATAAGCATTGAAATGGTGTCATTGACACTGCGCAATGCTGAAAGGTCTCGTGGCTTGGGTTACTCACTCTTTGTGCTATTTAGGCTGTTTTCAATCTGCTGCAACTTGGCACGCGTTCAGCTACCATTTACATTCCCCTTGTCATTCCAGAGATCATGTAAAACATTTCAGAGACGCTCTTTATAGATAGATAGATAGATAGATAGATAGATAGATAGATACAATACGATAATACAATACAAAAAGAAGAATATATACAAAAAACCTATCTACTGGCATATATACAACTAGAAATGTACAAAAATATGCAATAAGATGAAAAAGGCAGAGCAGTAATGACTGTACAAGGAGGCGCAGGCAACAGCATGTAATAACAATACTGAATAAATATATGAATATGTTGGTACTGAAATAAAGTGGCTAAGTGTGGAGTGTCCAGATGTGCAAGATGTGCGATAAGGTGTGCAGAAGTGCAGTATGTACAGTAAGGTGTCCATATGTGTAAATAAAATAAACCTATGATTGATTTAGCATACGAGATTCAGTCCTCATCTGCCTCTTCTCTCTTCTCTTCTTTTCTGGGTCCTGTATTTTATTTATTTTTTCTAGGGTTACTATACCTTTAAGACATATGTAAATGAGCTCTGTTCTGATTGGCTGCTCTCTATTGCGTCTCATTTAAGAAAACAGTTTGGGCTGAAACACTCCTTATAACTGTAAATGGGGGGGGGGCTACACCGCTGTAGGCTGAATAGGCGGGTATGTGTTGGTTTTCATGACATCAGAAAAAGAATTAACGGGCTGTTCGAAGAAAATTCAAAACGGGATGTTTTTGCAGCTTAGTGTCCAGTTTTGGATGGTATGGAATGAAGAGTGAATGGTATGTTTTGAAACTAAAGCAATACTACATCAAACTTTTATTCCAAATAGTTTTAGCACCGCTGCCACACAGCAAGAAAGGCCTGGGTTCGATTCCCGTCCAGACAAGACATGCAGACAAGACATGCAGGCCAATTGGACACATTAAATTACCCCTAGGTAAATGTATATGTCTGTGTGTCTGCCCTACGATGGACTGGCGACCTGTCCAGGGTCTTTCACCCAGTGACTGCTGGGATAGGCTCCAGCTTCCCCCGTGACCCAGAAGGATAAGAGGCTTAGAAAGTCTGTGTGTCTGTGTCTGTGTCTGTGTCTGTGTGTGTGTGTGTGTGTGTGTGTCTGTGTGTGTGTGTGTGTGTGTTTAGTTTTCTATGATATAGCCCCTTTGAAATATTAGCATGGATGATGGTGTTGGACTAGCCGAGGCATTTACTGCCAAGTTCCAGTATGAGCAGGATTGCGTGGTGGGGGTCACTCTCTCTCTCCTCCACAGCATTACATAGATTGACTCAGACTTCCACATAGTCACAAGTTAACATCATGTGATATGAGGTGCTCTGCAAAGCTGCATTTTTTGTACCCAAAGTGATATCCTATCTGGGGTTAAGCAAGTTCAGTGGTAAGAAAGTGGTTGAAAAAAATGCTGACTGACTTGATCTGCATTGCAGGAAGTGGAAGAGTCATGTTATTGAGGAGGCAAAAAAACATGAGATTGCAGTTTGCTTTTTCTGACCATTGCAGGTTTGGAGTGAGAAAGACTTCCACTTCTTGAAAAAGAAACTAGGCGGCACCCATCCTTATTCACATTACTTTAAAAGGTAAGACTTTTATCTTTGCATGTATGGAAAGATAACATTACAACTAGCTATATGTTGTGTAAGTGATAACGTTATTTATGACCGTTTTATTGGTCTGCACCTAAGGGCATGGGCTCAAGGCTATTCTAAAGATAATGGTGCTACTGTAGTCAAACCTTGAACTTCAAAAAATAGTTTATTACACTCACTGTCTTCTGTTGAAAAACTTAGAATGGTTTATAACAGATGCCACTTTTATTAGGTGCCTTGTACCTACATTCACTGACCGGTTTATCAGATACACCTGCCATTTAGGTGCACTTTGTCACTCTGTAGGTACACAGTTACCATGACTTATCTATTGCTGTACAGTTTATTGCCCCCCTTTTACCTCGTTCATTAATGGAAAGGGACCTCTAGGACCACCAATAATCAGTTATTTGTGTGGCAGAGCATTCTCAACCGTAGTATATGCTGCATTGATGCACCGCAGTACCTATATAGTAGTTGTATGTGATACTGTGACCAGTGAATGTAGGTACACAGCAGTAATAAACTAGTAACTCAGTGTACAGTACTGTAAAAGTCAGGGACCACCCTGTATTTATTTAATTCAACTAAAAACGGCCCTCAAGTACAAGTTATTCATTCTTCAGTGTTAGGAAAAAAGCAGAAAATGTATATTAACATAAAATGACACAGAAGTTTTCAAAGCTAAAAACAATATCAGAAATTTTCAGTGTTTATTGTGTCCACTGTTTGCCTTTATTACGTCTTCCACTCTTTTCAGGAGACTTGCTTTCAGTTTCTCAAAGAAATCTGCAAAAATATTTTTCTGCATCTCCAAAGTTCAGTCTTAGAAGTTGGTTGTATTTTTTTGCTTCTCATGCTGCGAGTAATTGCAAGTAATCATGCATCCCTCCGGCTCTGTCATGTCCATCCTTTGGGAGATCCTGTGCCTGCTGACCCTCCACAGCACTCCAATCATCGTTCACACTCACCTGAATACTAATCTGGTTCACCTGTTCTGTTTGTCATATGATCAGTTAGAGTATAATGCCCAGACTTTTAGACTAGTTTCTCTGTGAGGTGTTGCTTCTTCTCGTGAGAACTACTGAGTGGTTTTTCTGATTGCCCTTTTGGGTGAATCTGACCTCTCTTTGGATTATTGGACTTAGTCTTTTTGTCTTTGCTCTTTGGATCTGGTTGCCTGGTTTTGTTTTGTTTGTCCTTTTTTGTTTTTTGACCTCTCTGGATTTGACCATCGCCTGTTCACCGACACTAAGTTTTGCCAAAAGCCTCAACAGTACAGCCTCTTTTTTCATTTTTTCGGTTCGGTTTCGTTACAGTAATCCAAACACATTTCTGAGAACAGCCTTTTCCTTTCTCAATGAGGTCTTCTTGACAGCTACACATCCTTTCAGACTCATAGCACTGAGTCGTCTTATTACAGTGGAAGGATGGACAGAAACACCTGTGGATGTTTTCAGATCTGAAGCAAGAGTGGAGCTTGATTTTCTCCTCAGTACTTAAAGATGAAAGATTAAGTACTGTTCATCTGAACGGGACAGTTTTGGTGGTCTACCCGGTCTTGTGCAGTTGTTTGGAGTCTCAGTTCCTCTGTAGCTTTTATTATTTTTGAACTCTAGTTTTGAAAACTTACCTTTTTCATTAGTTTTCCTTTGACTTTCTCTTTCCTTATACAAGTGGATTATCTTATATTTACTCTTCTCTGAAACATCTGAAAATGAATAACTCGTAGTTGATGGCCAATTTGACTTGAAATATAATAAACGAAGGGTGGTCTCTGACTTGTGCACAGAGCAACGGAAATATTTCTTTATGTGTTTTGTGTTTTTGTTCTTCTCCTCAGTGGATTTTTTGGAAGTGGACTGGCAGTGTTTTCCAAGCACAGAATCCATGATGCCTTCCTGTATAAATACACCCTCAATGGCTATCCTTACATGGTGAGTAGAATCAAGCTGTTTATAGCAAAATGTGCTTTCAGAAACATTCGTTTCCTGGTTAAGTGGAGATCTACTGTGTAGAAGGCAGCTTTGACTAGACTGACCACTTTGCTGCTGCTGCCTGGAGCAGTTCTAAAAACTTTTCTTAAAAGTGCATGATGTGTCTGGTGTGAATCTGGATGCCATAATGATCAAAAACACAAAAGCTCTTTAAAGTAAAGGAAAGGGTAGATCATAACTGTTGTAGTAACATACATGTGATGATTGATTGTCAAATCTGTGCCAGGCCCATCATGGAGACTGGTTCGGGGGCAAAGCTGTTGGGAAAGTACTGCTGAATATCAGCGGGCTGGCAGTCCATGTCTTTGTCACTCATGTAAGTCCATTTAACCCCTGTGTTTCCCCTCGATTCTTTATCAGGCCAGGTGGTAGGTCCTTTGAAGCGACTGGTGTTGTCATGCCAGCATGGTGTTAAACATGTGAGGCGTCATGAATTGTTATTATTATTATTTTTTAAAACATATGAAACAGTAGACACAATATTCATGTAAATAGACCACATTTTATGATCTCTACACATTCATTTTGAAGAAGTGCTGTTGTGGTTGACAGTTCTTGTATCACAGTTGTGGGAAAACTCTAGCACAGTTTCCCTGTTTCCCTGTTCTCTTCTTTTAGAATCAGGTGGGCAGGAATTCCTACCCATTACCTCACACTAATGTATCTGATCCAGCCAGTCAAGGAGTAATGAAGTTCATTAGCATCAGCATTAGATGTAACAGATTGTAGTCGGACCTAGACTCCACATTAAAAAAAGAAATAAACCTCCAGGACCAGGGTGGGTGACCACTGCATTAGAAGATTAGGGCTAAGTTAGATGCTGCTCCTCTGGCACAAGCCAGCTGCCACTTACTGTGATGTCAGTGGTCATATCTGTGCCGGACCTGAGATCTGAATTTAGTGCAGCCTTATATTTGAAAATGAGTGATGATTTGGCACATAAGTTTGACCAGGCAGGCCATACCACCTATTTAATGATAGGGGGAACACTGTTATCCTTTAAAAGTGCTGCGTGTAAGATTTAGTGGCATCTAGCAGTGAGGTTACAGATTGCAACGAACTGAATACCCCTCCCTCACCCCTCTCTTTCCCAGTGTGTAGTAGAAGCTATGGTGGCCATCATGTTTTCGCTTCTTTGATGACTTGGATTCACCCTTCCCTGCTTTTCTTGTGCTAAATAACAAGGATGATCCTTCATTTGTCAAAATTTGGGTTTTCAAACTTACAACACAAAATGGTCAGCCAGCATTGCAGCAATCACTGATTCTTCCTCCTTCTACATCTTCCGACTGGTGCTTTAGCACCACCAGATTCAAGCTGCCGCTACAATGCAATAACACGAGAGGCGCTCTCTAGAGCCAGTGTTTGGTTTGTCCATTCTGGGCTAATGTAGAATCATGGCAGCCTCTGTATAGATATCAAGGGCTCATTCTAAGCTAACAAGTACACAACGATTCGTAGTTATAGGTGATTACACACTAATGAAAACATGGTTTTGTATACTATATTCCAGTTGTGCTAATAGATAACACTAAATCTTACACACTGCACAGCTATTTTTGCCTTTTAATAATGTGATTTCTCACTGCTGCCACTGCATTTATTTTGATACACTTAAATATGAATATACTTCTCATTTCTTTTGCTTTTTTGTCATTACTCTGAGAAAAGAAATCAACAATAAGCTCTCAGTTATATAAATGCTGTTCTGAATGTGTGCACTGACAATCTGTCACAGAGCATCCAACAACAAAGGCAGCAATTATTATACAATAATAGGAAACACAGTCTCACACAGATTCCACATGCTGATCCATTTTATTGACCACCATGGACATACACACTCACCAGCTTCTCAGGGGTCAGATTTTAACGAGTTAAAGGTAGACAAAGACAGAGTTTTTCAGTGTCTCTTCAGTGTCTTTTCAATGTCTTTGAAATGCTGTTGTTTTCTTGGGTAAGACAGTGTTAATGAAAGTGTGTGAGAAACAGTTCTGTGTGTTCATCCATACAGCTGCATGCAGAGTATTGTAGAGAGCCGGACTCTTATCTCCCTCACAGAGTGGTACAAGCCTGGGAGCTCCAGAACTTTATACGGTATGAACTCTCTCTGTCCAGGTATAGCAAGCATAAAATTAAAGAATTAAGAGTTTTTTTAATTCTTGAGACTCCAGCTTAAGAAATGTAGTGTCACATCCAGCATTTATTATGCTTCAGTGGTGATACTGTTTAAGAAAGCATTGTTTTTCTATATTTGGTGTGTATCTCCTTGGAGAAGGAGAGAGAGAGTGATATCCAAATGTACGTCAAACAGACGTACGCGCTGAACTATCATCGCAATCAAGTGCGCAGTGTTATCTACAGCTCATGCATGACAGCGTGTGAACGCCCTGGGGGAGTTCTCAAAAAAGATTATGCATAAATGTTTATGTCTACATTACAATGCTACCATGCACATACAGCTGTATGCAAACGTTTGGGCGCCCCTGGCCACATGACGTTTTGCTTTACAGTTACCATTTAATACCTAGTTTATCTAATCAGTCCTTCATTGAAGTAAATCAGGTGCTGCTGATGGAATTGAACAAATCCATCTGATGGCTGGAATGCAGTGTGAAGTCAGGAACCAAACCTGTGTTCTCTTAACCAACACTTTCATTCTTGTGTTTATCACTAAAGTACATCAAGTATGAAGTTTCATTGCCAAGAAGAGCTCAGCATTGATGTGGTAGCATCAATAGTCAGCACAGTTTAGACAATGCTGGACAGTGCTCACAGGAGACCTATAGACAAACAAGCAGCAGACTAACAAAAGCAACAGCAAGTTGGAAACTATCCAGTTCTCCTCAAAACAAGACGTATTATGATAGTGTAAGAGCGAGGGGCTATAATCTCAGAGGAATTGGAACATGGAAATTCTGTTGGTCTTACTGGTGGTGAAAACTGAAAACTGCATTCACCTTATTTCCATATTTACCCTGCATTCCATGTGATTTTCATGCTCAATTTGCATTCCCAAGTTAACCGTTATTAAATGATTGGAAGTAATGACTACATTCTGATGAAGCATATTTTGTCCACTCATATGCACTCTTAAGAATGTTGGTTCTTTAAGGGTTCTTTAATAAAGAAAATGGTTCTATATAGAACCATGAACACTCAAAGAACCCTTTCCATGATTAAAGGGTTCTTTGCAGCGCTAAATGTTGGTACAGTCAGAATGTGCTATGGATGGTTCTATATAGAACCTTTTCGAAAAGGGTTCTTCTATTGTTACGATGCCATCCTGTAACAATAGAAGAACCCCTTTTGGTGCTACGTCAAACCCTTTATAAAAAGGTTCTATACAGAACCATATATGTACACATTCTCCATCAGTCTGAAGAACCCTTTCACACTGCAAAGAACCCTTTGATCATTCAAAGGGTTCCTTGAGTGTTCATGGTTCTATATAGAACCATTTTCGATAACAATTTACTTGAGTAGCCCACTTTAGATGCTTTGTAGGTGCTTCATTTACTTTCAAGTTACATTCAACTACAAATCTACTAAATTGACCATGATTGTCTTTAACTCTAAACCTGGCTCTAATCCAAATCCTAACCTGAACCTCAACCCAAAACCTAAACCCAACCCTCACCCTGCTCCTAGCCCTAACCCTTGTCCAAATCCTAATCCTAACCCCACCACTGTGTGGAATCAACTGAGTTTCAACAGGTAGTTTGTTAACATAGTGGGCTATCTAAATAAAGTGAGACCCCATTTCTATACTAAAGAATCCTTGAAGAAACACCTTTTTAAGTGTGTAGCTATGACAAAATGCACTGTTCATAAATGGAAAATGTCTTTTTAATTTAGATTAAGTAAGACAAATACGATACTGCAGACCTACAGAAAAAATTGTGATTAATTATTTTAATCATCTGATAGCCCTAATTGTAATGTTATGTTGTGTTTTTACAGGCGAAACCACAGTTACTGCTTAGATAAATTGTTTTAAACAGCTATCCTGGCTGTCTGTGATTTATTTCAGTTTTATATATCTGAGACCTGCTGGGACAGTTTTAAAATGACCACTGCTTAAAACCACAAAATCAGCCATATACATTTATAAGACATTCACTTAATTAAATTCACTTTTCTTTCATCTTTAAATTAAAGTCTTCTACTTGTAGAGTTTATCATACATTGAGATGTAACAACTAATTCTTTAAAATGAGCAGTTTTCTCATTTTGACCTGATGTGTCCAATTTCCCATTCAGGCACACCAGTGCTGGAGCAGATGTAGTGATATTAGGGGGGGATTTGAACATGCACCCAACAGACCTGGGCATTAGACTGCTGCAGAGCTATACTGGACTCAAGGACTGCTACAATGAGACGGCCAGTTTTGATGTGAGTATAGAAATTGTGCTCACATGAAACTTATCAAAGTGTACGGTGGGGAATATATTGCAATGGCCAAGCAGACAGGCCTGTGATGTGCGTGTTCATCTGTTACTTTCCAGGGATGTGAACAGGGATTCACACATATAACAGCTAATCCTTTCACACATGAGCAGGAGCTTATTCCATTCGGAGGAGGAATCCGTATCGACTATGTCTTCTTCAAGGTGAATGTGCTTTATTTTGCTGTCGGACCAATCACCTTCTGTTCACATCAGGAGGCTGCACGCTTTCTTCTTCTTTTGTTTTTACTTTAATTTGCATGCGAAGTATCAAGCCAAGCTCTACTAACTCTTAACTTCAATACATGATGAATTAGATGTTTACTGGGTGGTTGCTTAGACACACATTCGGTCCTGTTCTGGCCTGTCTGTGGTCAACAACCACTGAAAACACCAGATACACATACTGAATGTTACTTTTTGTCAACAGGGTTCGAAGAGTGTAGATGTGAGTTGTGAATCTCTGTCCACTACTAAGGGCCCTGTCCCTGGTCAGCCCTTTCCTTACTCTGACCATGAAGCTCTGAGCACTGAGCTTGTGCTTCATCCTTCAGAGGATGGGAAAGGCCGCTCAAACCAGGAGAAAGACAGCACTGCAGGTATTCACACATCAAAAAATGTGTCCACCCATTCCTTACTAGCCCCTCCAAAAGCTGTACATTTGTTTTCTCTGCTGTTCCCCGTTTCTTAGATAAGCTTTCTGAGCTGGTGAACATTGTGACTGAGGCTCGGACTGAGGTGAAGGTGGGCCTACATTGTGCTGAGCGCATGCGCTACACGGCTGCTCGTACAGGGATCATGGGCCTGGCCCTTCTGCTGCTGGAGCTGGCCATAGCTGCTGTCCCCTGCTTCGCCTTGGGAACCGAACACCCCTTCCCTAAAGCTTCCTTCTACCTTCTGGGGGCGCTATGTTTTGCCATCCTTTTCTGTACCACCCTGCTTTACATCTTTTATGGCATGGAGGTAAAGGCCCTACAAGGAGCGGAGGACCAGATGAGGCTTGCTGTAGGTAGCCTGCAGGAACGTCTGAAGGCGTTCCCCAAGGGTACATATGAGGGCCGTTCACAAACGGAACCTGACAGCTGTGATCCAGCCACTCTAGAGCCAGGTGACTGAACATCAAAGACTGAGCCGCTTGACTGATATTTGCAGTAGTTTCTTGTTTGTTGCAGGATGCAATAAGCTCAGCTGAGCCTAATTTTATTTGTCTCTATTTCACAAGCATACATAATTGTGCCGGGCGCCCGTCTGTGTCCTTTTACCGGGTTTCGGCACCACTCTAGCACACCATGTGCTACCCTGAGCACAAGAGGGATGCTAGAAGCAGGAGAAACGTCTGCAGCAACCATATTAACTATATTTTCACACCAAACAAACAAAACAACTCACAACCAAAGTTGACCACTTTTCAGTGGCTTTAAAGTTAGACTTTTCAGTCCTTTTCTCTAAACCACAAAACTTTTCTGCTGCTGCTCATCTCTCTCTCTCTCTCTCTCTCTCTCTCTCTCTCTCTCTCTCTCTCTCCACTTTTTTTAAAAGGTGCTTATGCTGCCAACGACAGAACACCATCAGCTGGCTCTCGTTAAGGGCAGCGTGAGCACCTAAACCAAGAGGGAAAGAGAGCTTGTTGCTCCCCCTTCCTGTCACCGACCCTGCTCCCCAGCTCGACCACCTGGGTCGAACGTGAGGTGTAGTCTAGTGGGGCTTGGGACTCATGTGCCGTCCACCACCCCCTCGCAGTTCTCATTCTCTCCCTGGGGTTTGGCCGCCTCCCTGCCGACAGGTGCACGGCACAGTAATGTATAGTACTGTACGTGTAATACCTCTCCACAACTTTCTGACTGAATCTGTCCCTTTTATATCTATAAGCACCCACTTTATTTCAAAACTATGGACCAATCACTTTGCTCGGTCACCAAGGGAGAACAATCATTTTGATGAGGACTGAAAGAAAACCAGAACTGAAATGTAAGCAATATGACTGTGTAAGCTAACGTACTGTACACTTCCATGCAGCTTTAGAAAAATGGACCAGTAAAAGTTCTCCTTATTTAAGATTTGTTTGCTTAATTTCTTGTAGAACTGAGGCCTGTGACAGCATTACTTAAAAAAAATGGAACTTGAGATGATAATTTGAAAAAAATTATTTGTTTACTGGATATGTGTATCAGTATGCATCATATATGCATATTACAGTGGCATTATGTATGTACTGTTGCAGGCCTAGTAATAAACACCTCTGTTTATATGGGTAGAAATCTGTTTTAACCTGATCTGAGACCTGCTGGGCAGGTAATTCTAAAGGGGTTAAACCACTCGGTTCCTTTACGTTAGTTTATTGTTTTCCACATTTCAGTTGTCCCCCCCCCGACACCTATTTATCGGTCTTAAATGTTGTGTTTTTATATGAATAATACTAACAGTAACTGTGATGTCCTTTAGATGTGCTTTAATTTGTAATACCATCTTCTTTGCACTCTGTACTGTAGCCGTGCACTCCCATTTAATACCTTCTGTTTATTTTTCTATATTTACAGTATACTTAGATAAACATTACAAATGTTGTGTGAAGAAACAGGTTTTGCAGTATTCATGAATTTATACTGTAGACTTAAGACAATAGTAGTCTACAGTATCTACCTTTGTAGGACACCTAGTACCTAGAAATGGAAATATACTGAATGTTACCGTTCATGTTACCATATTCACTCACTTGTCCATCACTTTTAGTTACTATTTTATTATATCAGAGGCACTTTTCTTGAAAAAAAATAAATTATGCATTTTGCTAATGGAAAACTGTTTGTTGTCTTGGATCTTTTAAACCATTGCACTGTTCTCAGTCTTGAAATTACTGAACAAAACCTTCTGAGAGTAAAGTCTGTGTTGCATCCTTCAAATATTTTAATAAAATTATATATTTATGAATAATTATGCTGACGTTTACACAGGATTTTGCTGCCATCAGCCAAGCATTTTTTACACTTCTTGCCCAAAACCAGAATGCATTAAATCCAGATGCCACAGTTAAAATGAAATCTTGATGTTTGACTGGTTGTAATGTGACACTCTCATCACAAGGGGGCAGCGCAAACAGTCAGATGATTTTCTTCTGCGACTCACATTCACATGCAACTGATATATATATTGCTAAATGCTGAATGTATTTTAAAGTTAATAAACATACTTTAGAAAGTATGATACGTTATTATTTACATTAAGAAATAAAGAATAAAGAAGGTGATTGTGTTCATAATAATAACAAAATAATAATAATAGTAGTAATAATAATGAATCCATATGTTCTTATTTGTATTATTGTTGCTGTTGTTGTTACAAGACATATTTTTGTATTTTTTTCTCTTTCCTTACATACCTGCATAAATAGATCTGTCTTTCTTTGAAGCACCATTTTATGTCACTGAACACACAGATACAGCCTCTCTGTAATTACACCAATTACAGCTGTTTAATGAGATCTCCAGATTGGGAGTTAATGAGATCTCCAGATTGGGAGTAAATGAGATCTCCAGATTGGGTGTAAATGAGATCTCTAGATTGGGGTTAAATGAGATCTCCAGATTGGGAGTTAATGAGATCTCCAGATTGGGAGTTAATGAGATCTCCAGATTGGGGTTAAATGAGATCTCCAGATTGGGAGTAAATGAGATCTCCAGATTGGGAGTAAATGAGATCTCCAGATTGGGGTTAAATGAGATCTCCAGATTGGGAGTTAATGAGATCTCCAGATTGGGGTTAAATGAGATCTCCAGATTGGGAGTTAATGAGATCTCCAGATTGGGAGTTAATGAGATCTCCAGATTGGGAGTAAATGAGATCTCCAGATTGGGGTTAAATGAGATCTCCACATTGGGAGTAAATGAGATCTCCAGATTGGGAGTTAATGAGAGCTCCAGATTGGGTGTAAATGAGATCTCCAGATTGGGAGTTAATGAGATCTCCAGATTGGGAGTAAATGAGATCTCCAGATTGGGAGTTAATGAGAGCTCCAGATTGGGTGCAAATGAGATCTCCAGATTGGGAGTTAATGAGAGCTCCAGATTGGGAGTAAATGAGATTTCCACATTGGGAGTAAATGAGAGCTCCAGATTGGGAGTTAATGAGATCTCCAGATTGGGAGTAAATGAGATCTCCAGATTGGGAGTTAATGAGATCTCCAGATTGGGAGTTAATGAGATCTCCAGATTGGGAGTAACTTCTTCATTCCCACACATCTCTGTTGCTCCGGACTGGATGTCAGACTGGGCTGAATGAAGGGCTTCTCTGTGTCATTAACATGTCCAAACACCGACTCGGTCTCGATACATCATTAGCTCGGAGAGACCTGCCCATGCACATTGCTGGAGTGCAGTCTTGCCCATGGGTGTGGCGGAACTTCTCTCTGTAGGAGAGGAGCTGTTTTGTGTCTGGGATTTGCTGATCTTTACAGTTTTCCTGCCCCGGGCTGCTCAGGGAGAAACATACTCTCTTAGTAACGCAAGACGCAGAGCTTATAACGTTTCAGCGCGTCTAATATCTCTGAGCTTTAAACAGGGCTGAAGCTTTTTTGGCAGACCTTTAAAGTCACTTTCCCTCAGAAAACAAGCTTTTGCTGTAGGCCTGAAAACACAAAGAGGTCTTATCTTAACCCTCGTTTACACTGAAAATGTTTTATCCATTTTGACGGATATTTTACTGTAATATGTTCATTAAATTGGTTAAAGTTTATATTTTGTTTTTGTTTTGGCTGAATCTCTTAAGTTTTCCCGGCTTGTTGCGCAGTGGGAAAAGCGACTGTGTGTTTTTATGTAATATTTTAATCCCACCCGTATTCCTGCAAGCCCCGCCTCCTTTGCTACAGTTGACTGGTAGTGACCCGACTTCAACAGTAGTACTATAGAAATAATAATAATAATAATAAGAAGAAGGAGACGAGGAAGATTAAGAAGAAGAAGAACAACAACAACAAAACAACAGTAATAATATTATTATATTCATATTCATATAATTAATCGCCTCCTTCACTACAGTTGACTGGTAGTGACCAGATTTCAATGCTAGTATTGGAGAAATGATAATAACAATAATAATATAATACTACAGGGAAGAAGATGAACAGCTACAACAACAACAAAAACGACAACAAAATAATTTAATAATCCGTTGAATAATAATAATAATCATCATCATAATAATGATAATAACAACAACAATAATCATATTTAATAATCATATTCATGTAATCAATCACCTCCTTCAATACATTTCCACTTCACCTCAGTCCATCTTAAATAAGCTCAGGACCAGAGAAGGTGGCGGCGTTTCTGGATCCTGTTTATATTTGGTTTCTTCTTTGCGTGGAGTTTTAACTTGCATTTGTGGATGCAGCAACAAACTGTGTCCACAGACAGTGGTTTTCGGAAGTGGTCCTGAGCCCACACAGTGATTTCCACTACAGAATCGTGTCTGTTTTTAATTCAGTGCTGCCTGCAGGCCCGAAGGTCACAGCCAGACAATACTGGTTTTCAGCCTTGCCCTTGCATACAGAGATTTCTCCAGATTCTCCGAATCTTTTAATCATATTATGTACTGTAGATGATGAAATTCCCAGGTTCTACTCAGCCTCTCTGGGAGGCTCATTTTATACCAGATAAAGTTACTGATCTGTTGTCAATTAACCTACTTAGTTGTGTGATGTTCCACCAGGTGTGTTTTTAAGCATTACACAACTTTGTCAGTGTTTTGCTGCCCCTGTCCCAACTTTTTAAACGTGTTTCTGGCATCAAATTCAAAATGTGCATATATTAAAAAAATAAATAAATAAATAAAAATAAATAAAATAATAAACAACATTTGATACGTTGTCTTTGTACGATTTCAATTAAATATAGGGTTTAAATGATTTGCATATCTTTGCATTCGTTTAGATTTTGCACTGTGTCCCAACTTTTTTTGGAAATGGGATAATAATAATAATAATAATAATAATAATAATAACTTTATAATGATAATAATAACAATAGCCGTAGTAACAGCAAAAATAATCATAATAATAATGGTTATAATCGTCATGACTCATCTTTTTTTCTTTCTATTCTATAAACTCTCTTTCTAAACTATAAGTTACGTGTAAGAAGTACGTGTTTATTTAAACCGTTGTTGTTGTTTTTTACTGAACCGATCCTATGAATGATATTTGCACCTATTATAACAGTTTAATAACACTCCTATACTGTGGGAGAAACCTTTTCACTCCTCTCACTCATTATGACTCTGGTGTGTTGTGAGTGTGAGCAGCAGGGCGGGGTTTTTTCCGGAATACAGGTGGGGTTTTGAAGGGAGGGTGTGGGTGGTCACTTGGGCGTGCCCGTGTCTGGGAGTTGGCAGGTTAGTCAGGTTTACCTCAGAGTAGCAGCATCACGCCGCGCAGCGCCATTTCATACAAGCGCTCCGTGCTCGACTATCTCTACATGAGAAGCGACTCCGTCTACTCCAAAATGACCCTGGAACCGCTAAGGTCAGCTTTGTCGCTCGGGGAGGTCGGGGAGACGTCGCTGGCTCTGCCCTCGGACCGCAGTGTCCGCTCCGCTCAGCAGAGAGTGCTGGAGCAGGTTTCCACCATGAAGAGGAGCAAGAGCAAATACAGCAGCAGCAGCAAAGGAGGAACCGGAACACTTTCCCCCGCCAGTGAGTCACCTTTACCCTTAGCTAACAGACGATTGTTCAATTTTTATAGACTTTTTAGCCTCATAAACTAAAATAGGCCTAATTATATTAGTTATAGGCCTGCTCAGTTTCTGTTAGCTGTTAGCTGGGATGTGTTTTGTGTTTTATGTTTTATGTTCGTGCTGTGGGCTGTTCTCCTTTCTTTATTCTGCCCTTCATTTTTCACTTCAGACCTTTTTTTCTTCTTTTACTTATTTACTGGTGTGTTTTTGGGTGGACAACATGACAAAAATATTATATAACGATAATTCAATTTTATAGTTTTTCATAGTGTCTTCTTTTACTGTTAAGCTTCAAGTCTGTAAAGAACTTTGAACTGCCACTGATATGAAAAGTGCTGTGTAAATAATAAAGGTATTATTATTATTAGTAGTAGTATTTATTATTATTATTTTCATGATACATGATATGCTTCAAAATATTTGTGTTTTATTAATATATGTTTTATTAAGTTGGAACAGACAAAATAGAACTTGTAGTGCCACATATAAAATACTGAAATAATAATGTTAAAAATCTACAACAACAAAGTTTTTTATTTAGTGTTTTACAATCTGCATGGCACTAAATCCAGTTAAACCCTTTGTAATTAAACATTAATGTTAATGTTTTTTAAGTACTGACAATATCGACGATATGCTCAGAAAAGCGTATTGTGACATAATTTATCACGATAACAATAAAATATTGTCATATTGCCCATTTACCCGGTGTAAATTAAGTGATAAGCCAAAAGTTACTGTAACTTAATCTATAACTTTTAAGATGTTAGTATAAGCAGAACAGAGAGAACCCTGCGTTTGGTCTGTTCAGTATGACGGAAAGCCGTACATGAATGTCTTAACTTTGAAATGTATTTGGTTTTACGCTTATATGCTATAAATATAGAGGCCGGTAAAAATTTAGTAAATATTCTAGTAAAGTACTCAAAGTGTCTTGAGAAGCTGGACGTTTCTGGTGTAAGTCTGTCAGCTGTGAGCTGGACTGTGAAGTTTGAGAAGTTATAGGAGGATAGGAGTTTTTTTGAGTGTAGATGAGTTTACTTTAAATTAAGTTTGTGAATTTATCAGTT